TGCTTTTATGGGCTTTTGGGGGAGAACCATATTATATTGTATCTGTCGTGTATTATGATTATACGTATAAAAAACACACGTGTCAGCCAGCGACAATAGCCCAAGATGACTTGACTTGGGAAAAATGTTTGTTAACAAAATAAAAACACACACACACACACATCTTAGCAGGTTCGCCGGATTTTACGATGCAGGGATCGGGGGTAGGGGAGGGTGGTTGTTTTTTTCCCTTTTTGGGGTTTAGTGCTTTTCTTCGGTAGGTACGTTTGCCCGGGAACAAATCCGTTGGAGAAAAGTAGAAACTTATTTACTATCTCAAGAGCAGCGCCCGTGTCGTTTTAGTACCAATTTTCTCATTTTTGTCCCTTTCCTAGGCACTTTCCCCGACCCTTGCCGCCCGGTATAATAACCCCGTCGATTGTTGAAATTTATGTGTCTCGAGGAGAAAAAAAAATGATCATTTCCCCTATTGTACACACAACACAAAAATGCAGCAATTTGTCCAGGAGGCCGCGTTTGTCGTGAAGACTAAAAATAATAATTGAAAACTGTTTTGGTCGTTACCGATCCGTCTAATTTGGCCACTTCAATGGAGGGGTTACTTATACACCTACCGTGGTAATCTTATCCGTTCAAGATTATTTTCTTTGTACACAACAACACCTGAGCACATATTATATACAAAGCGAATAACGCCAACGCGAGTGTGTTTTACGTTGTTCCGGCCCAATGCATAAACCGTTTGAAAGTTTTTTTCTTCTTGCTGCTTTATAGTTTCATTCGTTATTTCCTAACTAACTCGTTTGCAATGAATTATGTGACGGCATAAATAATACAAAGTTCATTTAAAAATTACTTTTAAAACGTCTGATTAAAACTTTTTCTATTACGTTGTATTTTATAATATGTAAATAACAATCCACGCGAGCGAAAAAGCGTACCCGTGTTTTTAAAGGAACACACTTGCGGTTAGGTTAAGTTTAGGTGGAGAGAAAAACATTGTTAATATACTTGGAAGACAGAAATTCGAACACATACCTGGAAAGTATAAAGTTACCAATATGAATAATATGACTACATTAGCTGATTACCTATTACTGCTAGAATTTTTTAAGGTAACGATTGCATGGCTATCCATTTAAAAAAGAAACCCGGATTTTAATAAATGTGGGCTTATTTATCTATACAAGATCAACGAGAAACGGACACATGCTTTTCAACTGAGGTAACAATGCAGAATTGGATTATACTAAGGCACACAATTAATAGTTTTATAGTTAACAAATACAAACGATAAATTTAAAGTATTTTTTTAATAGTTTGTAAAAATCGTATAATGCAGTACTTGTCGTTAAACCTCTTAAAAAAACTTATTTATTTTATGTGACCAAGGGCGTTAACTTTTAAGGGCTAGGCTAGCTTAGGTTAGGTTAGGTTTATGACTATGTTTACTTTGTCTGTAAGTTGAGTACTAAATTCAAATATTACTATGCGCTGGAGGGCTGCTAATAGTGTATTTTACCCTCAATTGTTTATGCGTAATATTATTATTGATAAATATTTTCAGTTTAAACTATTTGTTATTAAGTACGAAGAAAAATTTTCGAAGTTCTTAGGCACGGTCTGCTTTTTTTTTTAGTGCAAAATGCTGCTTAATGAACATAGAAAACACACCTCGATAATAAAATATATTATGATTCTTATTAATATAAAACATTATTACTTCTTTAGGAAGCATTAAAGTATCAAAACCATCGGATATTTTGCTTTGGAGCCTGTTTAACAAAAGCCCCGGTAGCTATACAGGACGTTTATGAATAAATATTTATGTGCACATTAAAGAGTAAAGACCCCTCCTGACCAAGAGTAACGCTTTGAAAACATTGTCAGACAAAGCCAAAAAAAAAAAAACTTCTCGATGTAAAAAAAAGCTACACGGCGATAATTTATTACTTTTAAGCCTTTTAAAATTTGTATTTATTTATTTTTTCACGAGTGAACTTTTAAACGTTATTATATTCTTAATCATTTTTTTTTTTGCCAAAACTAAATATGCTTATTATTATTTTATGAGTATACAGCTAAGGTAATTTTGCAATTATTATTAAAACAAATAGTCTCATACATTATGCATGTGTTAGTTTTTACTCAAAATAAACATAACCAGTCGTCCACACGGTGTTGGATGCAATGAAATATTATTTTTTAGCTATAAACGTAACTCAAAAATGACAGTTATCGTCGTATAAACAAATAATTGTACCTATTGCTTTACTGATTGTTTAAAAAGAAAATGATAATACCTTCTCAGCTTTGCATGGAAGCTAAATCTTCACCCTAACGACAATAGCAAAGTTATGTCACTTAATCTCACTTGACAATGTTTTATGCGGCTATCGAAATTGATCAATGATCACAGTTTTTTTTGGCGGAATTGCCAACCAAAATTGTTGTCACTACAAATGCGATTATACCAAAAATAAACGGTACAACAGATTTTATATGAAAATTTCGTTTTAAAAACCATTCAGTCGATTTAAAAGGTGGTCTTTCAAAAGCGATTGTCAATTTATTTAATTTCAATATTCAATAATTGTACATTACACATGTATATTATAACAATTAACCTTTATTCCAATTGTTGAACGGTTATTTTATAGTCTATAATATAATACCAAGTCTGTAATTACATAAAACATATAATTGTAATATTTTTCTTGAAACATCTAAGGCAGAAGGTCAATAGTTACACCATACAATAAAAAGTTACTATTCATAATAGCAAAAACTTTTTTTTAGTACTATGTACGTATCTAAATTTTACGGCTACTGTAGAAATAATAATAAGTAAAAAAAAAATAAATAATAAGAAATCTTCTACATTTTTGCTAGCTAGCAAATATTTTAACATCACATTTAATGGTGACGCCATAAGCTCTTGGTAATATGTACATAATATACGATTTGTCATAAAGATGTGTACGACGCTTTATATTAAATTGTCTTTTTATTTTCAATCCTTTCTTTCGATTTTTTTTTTAAAAAAAAAAGGAAATGTAGTATTTTTAAGTGGATTGGATGGGAAAATGAAAACAATCTACTTAACATATCTTATAGTCAAATTTAATCATAAATATAATATAATTATTATTTAATTTTGAATACATATTGGTGCTATTTAAATAATTAGAAGAATTAAGCGTTAATTGAAAAATAATAATCGTAACGTCACTTGTAGTTGTTAAAAACCGTTATGTTATGTTTAGTAATTTTAATAAATCAGGTTATAAATCTTTAGGAAGTTCCATTTTTGATTTTAATAGTTTCCTACGGTAAGTCACCGGATATTAATTTTATTCATAAATATTTCAATGAATAATAATGAAAACGTTGCCTATAGAATAAAAAAAAAATATATTTTTATTATTCAAACCGTATTAATGGCGTTCAATGTGATTATTATTTTGTATAATACGAATTTAAATTACTCATTAATGGAATACCTATAAAAATATTACTTCTACAAAATATGTATAATAAAAACTAAGAAACTGTTTTTGAGTATAAAAAACATTGGGAGTATAGTACGCTGAATAAATATTGTTTTTTATCCGAATTAAATTTATTTTTCAAGTTCCTGGATGACAGACAGCCAATTATTAACACACCATGGCACATAGTTGTATATTATGGTTACTATATATATTTTATTTACCCGATCATGCACAGTTATTCATATTTAGTTTGTATCGTTCAAACCGATGATTTATTATAATAACAGACGATTATTATTATTTATTCTTTTTATAAACAGACATATATTTCAACTTTGATATGCAGCTGAGAATGTATATTTAACCATATTATGTTGAAAAATTTCCCCTTTTCCACCTCAAAACTGATAAAAAAAAAATGAATTACATAAATGTAATTTTTAAATTTCGACAACAAGGTCATTAGTAAATTTTTTAGATTACATACATATATTATCATGGTTACAATTACAATACTATCTTTATTGTGATTTTATCACATAAAGTTATAATATTATTTCCAGAGACTTGTCACCTCTCAAGTTCTACTTTTTCCTCACTGAAATTCGCAGTGTTTTTTAATTATTGTTTAAGGTTTTTACTAACTATTTTATCAGTTTTGAAAATAGTCTGTTCGAAATATCTAGTTTGTGATTTTAAAGTGTAATATTTCAGCTTTGAGAATTAAAAATTCAAAAAACATTGATTAGCTTTCAAGTAAGAATTTTTAAATAAAAAATTAAAATTTTCCGCTCTAATAAAATTAAAAAAAAATTGCACGAACAATAGTACTTAGAGTAAAGTTAGGATTTGAAATTTTAGGGATTTTTTATTTTAATAGACTTTTTTTGTGGACACAAAGAAAGAAAATATTATTTTTGATTGTAACAAATTTTGTAGGTAATCGATTTTTAATTAAAAAAAAAAAATTAACAAACAAAATTGATCAAGTGTAGCAAAATTGTTTATAGATGATTTTAGAAACATTATTTAGCTTTTCAACTCATTCTACATCAAACATACCTACTGTTTATAAGAGTACTCAGATTTAAGTTTTAAAAAATTATTTAAATTCTTCATAACATTTCCAAGGCATCGATCGTGGCATAATATTTTAAAATGATTTATTTCATCTTAAAAATTGCAGTTTTTTACATTGAAATAATCAGTTAAAAATAGTCAAATAAATAAATAAATAGTTTTTTTTAGGTATGTTTTAGTTAGAGTAGAAAATATAATTATTTTTTTGTACAAAAATAGATCCTGTATGCGTTATAAAATTAAAAACAATTATAGATCCTTCTTTCCAGTGGTAATAATAGGTACGTTTAAAAATGTTAAATTTTAGTGAAAAATTGCCTAAACAACGCGCCTTAATAAATACTAGTGTAGAGGCATGTTGTCTGGAAGTAAATACGAGTACTTATACTTCTACAGGAAATAATATTATAACATCAAAGTACTTACCGAGTGACATGGCCAATATTTTGGCAGCCAGTACAAACACCGTGGCGGCTGTCATGGAAATTTCACCGGTCATCGCGTATGCCTAAGCCGAAAAATATTAACAGGGGAACTACGGGGGGAACGAGGAACCGTTACCGCACGTGTCCGGAGACAGACTAAAGTTGCCGGCCGCTAAGTATGCTCGTCCCCGTACTACCGTGTAAGGGCGGTGCGCGTGATCAACGTTAGCCGGACCGTCGCCGTGTCAATCGTTTAGTTCCTGGCCGGAAACAGTACTGGCACACTTTAATAACATTATTACTATATGTATATTCAGCCGATTTCACCGACATTTGTTAAGGATTCTACTTATTGTTAATTATACAATTAGTTAGTGAAAATTGGGTTTCATCGACATTTGTTAGCCTTAACACGTTGTTAAAACGATTGTTAAGTTAATCAGCCGAAATCAGTTGGTCAAAAAGTTAACCGGCATGTTAAAATGGATATTGTAGTACTTATATAATATAATATTTATAGTATTAAAGTTCAGAAATTGTTGTAATCTAGATAATATTATTATGTCTTGCCTGTCCTGACTCTTGAGTATAACAATGGAAATAATTCTTATCACAACCATGACAAACTATTTTTAGAAAAGTATAGACTATCTAAACAATGTGTTAAAAAAATTATATATAAATTATTTATATGAATCGAAACGTTAAAAGAAAGTAAAACAAAATGCCAAATAATAACAAACTGACAAATTAAATAATACAATCACTTATCTGTTATCACATATTTTAATAACCAATGAGAACGTTGGAATCGAGGTAACCGCATTGGTAACCCAACTAACGGTTTGTTAACTTAACAAATATAATTTAACAATAATAATGTTAAGGTGAAACCTATTTTTTTAAACCAGATGTTAAATTTAAATGAATTGTTAACTAACATGGTGTTAAGAGTATATTTAACAATAGCTGGTCAAACAGGCTGATGGAATCATAATTTAACGGGGGGGGGGAGTTAAAATCAGATTTTTGGAAAAAACATTTTTTTTATCTCAAACATTTTAGTTTTCGTTATTATTTTCATAACAATAGTAATAATATGTCTAACTTATATTGCCAGCTAAATCCTCTTGTATTTTTAGAACTACTAGCGACGTTTCCATTTTTAAGATTCATTTTTTAGAAATACATTATTATTAGTTACTATCATTATTTTACAAAGAAATGAGGAATACCCAAGATTTATTAGATAAGTGTTATGCAATCATTCTAACGGCTTTTTCTTAAAAACTATTATAAACAAATTTAGGAGTTGTCCCCATCATTATTTCATCAAATCCACAACAAGCGCCAATCTAATATAATATGTTTATTTTAATTATACTTCTAATGATATTATACATTCGTTATTTTTATGTATAACGGTATAATTGTATGCTTTATTCCCATTATATTATTTCATACAGTACCGAATGTCAAAACATCTTGTTTAAATGTCTTAAAAAAAAATATATACATATATATTTGCGATAAATAACGGAATAGTACCTACTATACTTTTGTAAAAGTTTTGGCAATAAAAAGTTTTCAAATGTTCAATGGAGTACACCGAAACCGGATATAAAAGAATATAAACGCCTAATTTATAGCCACCATACCTTTTTTCAAGTACAGTTATAGAAGAAATATTACAATTATTTTCAAAAGAACAGTCATTCAAAACTACTTTTCTATTCACATAAGTTTTTTGGTCATACGCTATAGTTAATAAAGACAAAATTGAGTAATGCAAAAATAACCGTCCATAAAATTAAAGCACTTAAGAACCCTCACTGTGAGCTCTTTTTTTTGTTGAAAAATACCGACAATTGGCCGTGACAGAGTTAGTTTTGTGTAAAATAAAATATTTTCTTATTCTCCAGAAACATACAGTGCTTTATCCCTGGTCAATGAAAATAGAAATATATTAGCATTTTTCTATTATATGTTATGTAAGACAAAATAACAATAGGTATTTACCTAGCTGGGTCCTTAATTGGTACTTATGTAACAACTGGAAGGTCTCGGTGTAATAAACACTACAGTTCCAATTATTATCGACAGCAATGTTTTTTTCATAATTTTTATAATGTAAAAATAACGAGACCGTCATTATGGTGTAATAAAGAAAGTAAAAACACATAAACAGGATTCACTCCTACAAGAAAAGAAAACAAGTTACTATCTCGTAAGAAGTTTTCGAAAATGAAGTTAGTTTAGGTTAGGTTAGGTTACATCAAGGTACAAGTTAAATGATTTAATGACAATGTCATAGCAGACCCCAAGTCAAATGGACAAATAATTAGTTACATAACTTGTTTTGAAAAGAACTATAACAATATATTCAAGTCTAAAGGGTTTTTTATTTTTTATTTTATCTATTAAATAAAAATGGTTGTAAAAATAATTTACTTTTGGTTTTTTATATGAAATCGAATGCCGATTTAGGGACACTGAAGTGTGATTGTATATAACATGAATAAAGTTGAACATAAATATATTGTCTACTGGATTGGAAATCTTATCATGTATTAAGATGACCGAACATCTATGGTCTCATGGGAGGGGTTTTCCTTTAGGACTGTACATTCACTGTGATGCTTAATTCGGTATACGTTGTAGGTACACTAATTATAAACTTTGTAGCGAGCCTAAATGCATTTCGCTTGATTTATGTACAAAAGTTTCTCCGCCAACGACAAGTCTTGGGATTTGAACACTGTCCTCTTATCCTTTGCCACTTTTTCCATGTCTGTATGTATGTAAACTCCAAGAATATCTGGGCAACATACCGTGCATTTTGGACGCATTACATTTTTCTCGTTTCATCCCTATTCACAACTTGAGTGTTCCGGCCGCCTTTTGTTGACAGGCTGCAATCAGATAAATTTTGCTCCTTATTATGTGTACCACCTGAAACGTGTAGCAAACACAATACACACATTGGTGTATTATATTATGACAAAATAAACGAGCACGGTTATGCTGCTTTCGTAAAATGTCTTAAATTCGGAAAATATTTTCAGATATTTCAACGAAGAGAACACATTTCAACGCTAGACAAATCATTTGTTAATAAATAAACGCTAATAGACACTATTATTATTGCTACACAAGACACAATTTATTATGTTTTAAATGCACCAGTATAGCGTGCGATATTTGTCAAATAATGTAAAACGAAAACGTTTGACAGTACTGTTATCATTACATAACGTCATCTGCCAATTGCCATCCCCGCCATTGTCTCTGGGCATCACCTAGCAATCGGGCTGTCTTCTACATTTTTAAGTAGAAATTATAGTCTTTAATATAAAACGTAAAACAATCCCATCTCATTGTGTTCACTTCTGTTTGAAAATTAGCTAAAAAAGTACCAAAGAAACGCCTATATTTTGTTAAATTTTCATTTTCTGGCATCAATTTTGACAGATAGGAACTTTTGGGCACGGTGTACGTGTTCAGCAGACTACAAACTATAAAATCATCCAAATTTCAGCTCGAACTAAAAATTAGGAAAAAAGTTATGCGTTGATTTGTGTACAAGTGTCGAAACCCAATGTTAAATCCCATTTAAACTTCAACGGGTTAAAATTAATATTTTTCAATTTTTTTTTTGTTGATCTTAATTTTATTGCATTTAGAAACTTTTTGGGGAGGCGTCGAGGTTAAAATTCGAAAATCCACTTTTTAAGGACCACCCTAATATATATTATATTTCAAATAATTCTCCAACGGTTAAAAATCAAGAAAGTCTACACGCCATCATTATTATTATTATTCGCGGTTGTACCAATGTTTGAGAACGTTTTACGTGGAGTCGAGTCGGCCATCAATGGCAGCAATAGTATTGGAAAATTAATAGGAAACTTTATTATATATATATATATATATATATATATATTTTATTCGGTGTGCATTGAATGCCGAGTACAGACAACGAGACACGGCTGAATCCTATTTTATATTATCTGAACCGTTTGATACGGTTGGTACCCCGAGGGCGACGGGGGGAAGCCAAGTAGTCGTCCGGGGCCGGCAGGGGAAGGTAGCGCCGCGTCCCGGTTTTAAGCGAGGCGCTTATGCAATTTCCGCGCATTTGTGTAATGCGTTCTGCCGCCGTGTTTGCCCATGGGAAATTAAAAGGCACGGTGTTTGGACGACCGAAGAGAGCAGACGGCAAAAATAGCCTAAGCACAGTAGTACACTGCAACGAAACACCGAATTGAACAGCTAATGATAAATGACAAACTTCTCCGCCGTATAGTATTGTAAACGGTCAACGCATATTTATATGCATAAGTATTGTATAGGTTGTATTCAACCCCATATATTCGCGCCATATATTGTGTTAATCGTTATCCAGTGCACGCGCACACACACGCCTAAATTTCATAAATCCAGTTTATACCAAAATTCAAACACTTTCAAGGTCACATTATTCAAATAATTATGATGTCGGTGTTGAAATTGTTGTGTTACAAAATTGATATTTAACCATATACTTATTCATATATAATTTATTATATTCCTATCCATATACTTATCGGTTCTCTACAACCTGCATATTATTGTAATTAGTTAAAAAAAAAAAGAAAGAATCTAGTTATTTTCTCCGTTCCAGGAAAAAACATTGAGTCATGGATATGGTATCTCTTATCACATAACTAATCTTTTATACCTTATCGCTTATCTCTTATCACGCGAAAATGGCGACATGGAATTTCTTGTATCCGGCCCAATAACATATCCATGTTAACAAACGGGACTACAAGATTTAATAACAACAGCTTCGGGGTGATTCGGAAAATGTTAGTACATATATTTAATTTTGAACACAACTAATTACCAAATAACTAACTTAAATAATTTCGTTATCTACATATATTTCTATATCTGTATCTGACGACCTTTGTGTGGTGCAATGTGTATGTGCCAAAATTAATCCAAAAAGTATCAAGAGATTCGGGTAAACAACTTAATAGTGTATGCACTTTTGTTTTGTAACAAGACAAAAATATATTTAAAAATGTGATACCTATTCGTAGTTTTAGGTCGGTGCATATTTTACATAATACGTATAATATAATAGTTTACATATGAA